CTACGGGACAATTTAGCACGGCCAATCCACCCTGACCCGCACATCCCTGGGCACTACGGGACAATTTAGCACGTCCAGCCCACCCTAACCCGCACATCCCTGGGCACTACGGGACAATTTAGCACGTCCAATCCACCCTAACCTGCACATCCCTGGGCACTATGGGACAATTTCCCACGGCCAGCCCACCCTAACCCGCACATCCCTGGGCACTACGGGACAATTTAGCACGTCCAACCCACCCTAACCCGCACATCCCTGGGCACTACGGGACAATTTAGCACGGCCAATCCACCCTAACCCGCACATCCCTGGGCACTACGAGACAATTTATCACGGCCAATCCACCCTAACCCGCACATCCCTGGGCCCTACGGGACAATTTATCACGGCCAATCCACCCTAACCCGCACATCCCTGGGCACTACGGGACAATTTATCACAGCCAATCCACCCTAACCTGAATATCTTCGGACAGTGGGAGGAAACCCACGCGGACACGGGGAGAATGTGCAAACGGCACACGGAGGGTGGACTTGGTGCCAGGGACCCAGGCTCATGAGGCAGCAATACTAACCACTCAGCTGCCGCCGAATCAAGGTGGGGGTGAGCAGGGAGATGTCACGTTTAAAAACAAGGGGTTACTGATTTAAAACAGAGGCGGCAGAGAGACAGGGCAATGAGTATTTGGAACTCTCTCCCTGAAGAAGGGGGCTGGAGGTGGAGTCTCCGAATATATTTAAGGTGAGTTGCGGGGGGTTGGTTAGGAAAGTGGAGTAATCAGATCAGCCACGATCTCACTGATAGGGGGAGCAGGGGTGAGGGTCATCCTGCTTGTTCATGTTTCTGACCTGTTGCTGTTTTAACTTCGAGCCACCCCAGCCCGGTTATAGCTCAGTAGGGGCAGGATCTGCACGTCCCTGACTGGCCTCCTGTTTGGCTGAGTTCCTCCTGGGGACGGAGTTTGTTTGAGGACGTGAGGGGGGTGTGAGGACTGACACATCATGTGCATCTCCCTCTCTCTTGTCTCGGGCTTGGTGCTTTGGCTGATCATTTGGCTGGCGGGAGGGGTAGGGGGGTTACGAGTGGAGGTTGTTTGGTTGCAGGGGGAGCATTGGCAGGGCAGCCTTGCTACCCCTTTGCTGTTGTTCGGTTCCTGCGAAACGTTTACACAACTCGAACCGGAGCAAGGGGTGATCCGATCTGGGAGCCGCGGAGAGAAACTGTTTCCTCTGGTGCAGACCCGAGTGAGGCCAATGGATTCAGGATTGGAGCCTGCTCTGCATGTCCCCAGACTGACCATGGAGACGTTTTGCCAAGCGAATGAGAGGCACAGAGACTTCAAGTCGGAGACGTGAGGCCTGGAATCGTTTCCTCACTCACAGAGAAATGAGGGCCTGGAAATGTCTTCCTCTCTCTCTCTCTTCCCCCCTCTCTCTCCCCTCTCTGTGTCTCCCCCCTCCCTCCCCTCTCCCTCTCTCTGTGTCTCTTTTAACCCCCCCGTCTCTCTCTCTCTCTCTCTC